TTAGCACTTATTACACCAAATTACGGGGTGCTTGGGATGAACTTGATGCTGCACGAGCCTTACTTGATTGCCCTCATGGCTCCAATTGTCCCGTTACACAACATATCACAAAATAAATGGCAGATGATAGGGTCTATCAATTTCTATTTGGCCTGGATAATGCTATGTTTGGCACGATTCAAACACAACTGCTAAATCAACCTCTTCTACCATCTTTAAACAAAGCTTATTCCACGCTGGTCCAGGAAGAAACTCTGTTTCATATGGCTCAGACTCTTGACACTCGTAATGATGCACTCAGCTATGCTGCAAGAGAAAATCAACACCCTCATTCCTCCAATGCTGATCCTGTTCGCTGCAGTCACTGTGGTAAACTATACCACGATGCTTCCAAATGCTATCAATTACATGGCAGACCACCCTATGGACGTGGAAGGGGACGTGGCAAACCTTATGACAAGCGTCCCAACCTAATCAATTTTTCTGCACCACAAACCGCAGCTGCAGTGCCTATGGTGTCCAACCAAAACTCGGTTCCCAACTTGAGTCCTGAGCTTCTACAGCAAATTGCCAACATGGTTGTCTCCTCCACTACACCCTCTGCTAACACTACATCTCTTTATGGTAAGCAAACTCCACCTTACACCTGGCTAGTGGATAGTGGCGCCTCTCAACACATGACAGGGAATCTACATTTAATCTCCAATGTTGAATCTATTCAACCCACTACAATAGGTTTATCTGATGGTGATCAACTTGTTTCAAATCAACGTGGCAGTCTAAAGTTGACATCTAATATTTATCTTCAGAATGTGTTATATGTTCCCAAATTACACTGCAATTTAATATCAGTTGCTCAATTACTTGCTTATACAAATTGCATCATCTCTTTTACTCACAATGGCTGTGAATTGCAGGACCCCACAACGAGGATCAAGACTGGACTGGATAGACTGCAAGCTGGTGTTTATGTGCATGACTCCTCCAACAGCACGTCCATATCTACTGCATGTACTGCTCAAAACCAACAGAATGCAGAAGTTTGGCACCGTCGATTGGGTCATCCTTCATTTCAATTTTTAAGCTTTCTTCCTTTTGTTACAGTGAATAAAAATAGGGATCATTCTTCTTCAGTATGTGACATTTTCTTACGAGCACAACAAACTCGTACTGTATTCCCTATTAGCATTAATAAAACTACTTCTTGCTTTGATTTTATTCACTGCGATATATGGGACCCATATCGAACTACCTCTCTAACCGGTGCAAGATATTTTTTAACAATTGTGGATGATTTTAGCCGAAACGTCTGGGTTTATTTAATGACCACCAAGTCTGAAACGTTCCACTATTTAACTCAATTCCTTCTCATGGTACGTAATCAGTTCAATACCACTGTCAAAGTAATACGCTCCAACAACGGATCAGAATTTTGTGCTTATAATCTCCGCAAAGTTTATTCAGATATGGGAATCATACATCAAACATCGTGCGTAGACACACCACAACAGAATGGTCGTGTTGAACGGAAGCACATACATATTTTGAATGTTGCAAGAGCATTACGTTTTCAAGCTAGTCTCCCCATCGAATTTTGGGGTGAATGTGTTCTAACTGCTGTTCATTTAATCAATAGATCCCCTACACCTCTTCTTCAAGGAAAAACACCATATGAACGTCTTTTCAATCGAACACCCAACTATGATCATATTCGCATATTCGGATGTCTTTGCCATGCTTATCCACGTCCCAAACCGTTAGACAAATTTGCGGCTAGATCAATGATGTCTATTCTTGGGATATCCTTTTGGAAAAAAAGGTTGGAGGCTTTATAACCTTGAAACACAAACTGCTTTTGTATCTAAAGATGTGGTATTTGAAGAGAACACCTTTCCATTTGCAACAAACACAGACATTCCTACCAATGTTGATATTCCTCACTTATCTCACAACCCAAACCCAGAAATTCATACCCCCATACCAACGAAACCAATCCCTGCTCCACACAGCCCATCTGTTGATTACCAAGTTGCCACAGACCCCACTTCTTTAGTGGATGATACTATTTTTGCTGAACAAGCTCAGACCGAACCATCCACTGCTACTTCATATGAGCTTACTGTCCAACAAGAATAGTCTCCAGCAGCCACACCAACTCATACATCAGAGACTGGGATGAGGACCCCGTTCTCGTCGTCCTCCATCATATCTCCAAGATTTCGCATGCTCCAAAGTCATAGCACATAACCCAGCAGCTTCTTCTACCTCTTCCAGTCCATCCTCAGGTATGGCTTATCCTATTGCTAACTTTGTTTCTTGCTCTAAATTTTCTCCCAAACATCAACACTTCCTTGCTGCCATTTCTTCTTGTGTTGAACCAAAAACATTCAAAGCCGCTGTAACTGATGAAAGATGTCGCGTAGCAATGCGAAAAGAAATTGATGCCCTTGAACAAAATCACACGTGGGAACTCACTTCATTGCCACCAGGGAAATTGATGCCGTAGAATACTTTGACACATATGCTCCTGTAGCCAAAATGGTTAGTGTATGGACACTTCTTGCGATAGCTGTTGCCAAAACATGGAAACTATACAAGTTGGATGTTGCGAATGTTTTTCTACACGGAGACCTTACAGAGAAAGTCTACATGCGAGTCCCACAAGGTTTCAACCATCACAAACCACATCAGGTATGTCGATTACGTAAATCTCTCTACAACTTGCGGCGGTTTGCTAAGTTGCGGTCTTCTATCGAATCCTATGGCTTCATTCAGTCCAAGGCAGATTATACCTTATTCACCTTACACAAAGATGGCCACTTTGTTGCTCTTCTCATCTACGTTGATGACATTATTCTAACAGAAGACCATGAAGCCTCATGCAATGATGTCAAGGTCTTTCTCCAGTCATGCTTTCACATCAAGGATTTGGGGATTCTTAAATACTTTCTTGGCATCGAAATAGCTCATGGTCCATCTGGTCTCTTTCTCAGCCAACGAAAATACGCTCTCGACATATTGGACGATGTTGGCTATCAGCCATTTGCTAAATACAACACATTCAAGTCTTCTGTGTTTTCTATAGTCTCCTCTATTCAATGGAAAATACTATAGTTAGTGGTAAAATCGAAAGGAAATTTTCAACAAAGCAAACAACTACCAAGTTTAAAATGTATTCAAGAAAGGAGACTATGATCACTAGAGGAGATGAAGAACTTGGACGGCACGAGAACAACAAAATCAAGGGATGCAAAACAACCAAGCAGATGTGGGATCTTCTCATGGTAACTCGTGAATGTATTAATAAAGTAAAACAATCTAAGATAAATTTTTTAATACATCAGAATGAATTATTTTCCATGAAACTAAAAAAGACAATTAAGGACATGATCACATTGTAAATGAGTTGACCGCTATTGATAGTGAAATTAAATTGGAAGAATAAATTTAAAAAAAGGGAGGGATATTCTTACTATGAAAAAAATCTACTATCAACCAACTACTTATCTAATCACAATTGGATCAACATTTTATCAAACTTTTTAGTATTCTCTCTTTCTGATCTAATGGTGATTAGATAGATAGTGAATTTTTTTTGTAATAAGAATATCCCCTCTCATTTAACATAAAAAAAAAAAAAAGATTTAAAGAAGCCTTCCACAAGAAGATTGCATACCCAAGGTGACCAGACTTCAAGAAACCAATGATTCAAGACTTTCAATCTAGAGCAATTAATTGATTTCCTCATGATGTTTAGGATGCAAATTGAGTCACATAAACATGAGACATCAATGAAACAAGAGAAAGGCATGACCCTCAAAGACGAATCAAAATAAGATGAAGATGAGTTGGCCATGTTTCAAAAAATCAAAAAGATATACAACTTCTCTTGGAACGCTGCAAAATAAGGTAAATCTGGCAAAACTATAACTAATATACCTAAAACTGGCAAAAGAGATTTGAAATGTGAAAAATAGATCATAGGATTAAGGAAGGCCTAGATTGGGAGTTGGAACACAAGAATGACTGCAAGATGGATTGCGCGAAGGAATATAAGAAATTTTATTAAAAAAGAATTGAAGAAATTAATGATGACAGCATGGATTGACTCAAAGCCAGATGGATGCAAAAGGCCAACTTTTGTGTATTAGTGAAAATTGACTCTTAGACTAATGAAGAGTAAGGAGATGCAAACACAAGAATTGAAATCCTCCATGCATATGTTGTCTAAAAAATATTTAATAGAATAATTAGGAACTTCAATTGATGAGTATACGGTTATTCGTGTTGAAAGAGTTTATCTTGTAGATGAATTTGTTAAATTTGCCTTTTCTTTTTTTTGAAATCTAGAATTTGTTAATTTAAAGAAAGAGCTTAAGACCGCCACTGAGGCTAATAAAAAACTAGATAAAAAAAAAAAAAAAACGATGTAATTAAAGATGAAATACTCGAGCTGAAGAACCTGCTTTTGAAATGTAAAATTGACAAAGGCTAAAATCAAGAAGTTTAGTCATGCTGATAATTTTGCAAATACTATTACCAAGTCTAAAATAACAAAATTGGATTTTGAAATTGATGTGTTAAATAAAAATAAAAATAAAAATAAAAATGATCTCCAGAACAAACTGAAAACTATATTAAGTGCTTCTGGGAGCTGCGATAAGACCAGTAGATGGAATGGTAGCCAAAATGTAGTGGAGTGACTCACATGGAACAATAACAAGACTGGATGATTTGGATTTTGTTGATAGGAAGAAAAATGTGTAACCAAAAAACAAACATGTTGAATTTCCCGAAAAGAATGCGTGCATGAACTGTGATAATACAGGACATTTTAAGAGTGATTACAAGAACCAAGACATGAAAAGAACTACGCAAATTCATAGATACATATATGTGATAAGCAATATATTTAATTTAAAACGATTACACCTGACTAACTTTTTTCAAATTCTTCCAAAATAATATAATTAAAAAAATAAATAAAAAATCCACAAATCATCATAAGAACGGCCAAGTCGTTCAAATCGACTTGTCTACTAATAAATACAATAAATTCTATTTTAGTGATAGACATAATAATATAACTCAGATGCCTTTTTTCTTATTTGTAGAGAGGATCTACCAACAAGAAGTCTGTTATCAGCCGAGTAATCCAATGCGTTAAATTTTTTTCCACTCTACCTGATTCCAGTATCTATAATGGTAAAACAGGAGAAGACTAAAAATTACAAAAGAGAATTCATACATCTGTCAATATTAATGAAGATACAATGACAACATAGGCCAGGAAAAAGAAAATGAGAATCTGTATGAAAAACTTTGGGTTTTCCCTCATGTTTGGTGATGTCACCGCCCTGAAAAGCAGAGAATGAATTATATTAGAAAATCACTTAAAAATCCTTAAGGAGGAAAAAATCAAAGCATGCACGCAGAAGTAGCGGGAAGAGAAAGTCCATGACAGTTATTCAACTGACATTGTGATTTCACTTTGTTACTCAATGTTACCTAGCAATTCGCTGAGAGAGTCGATGAAAAGGTAAACTTTGTATGAACACAATGCCTGGTCCAGTTAGAAGAGCTGTCACCGCATTGTCACCCTACAATTTCAAGATCACAATCATATAAACCAAATTCTTTGGGAAAAAACTAAGATGCACGTAAAAAGAAAGCTATGACATGAATATTACGATTTAAAGGTGGCATGGTGGTCCCCACACGTTAAATACTGACATAACGTGTATAAAAGGTGGTTGCATCTTCCTCTTATTACAACTTAATTACAAACCACTGAAGATCTTGTTGGCCATATAAAACAACTATTTCAACCCAAAAACTTACCCTATTAGATGGAGGTCACGTTAATAGTTTTATGTTATATTTCTCTAACTCTGGGTTACGTATTAGAGTCAGCAAAATTAATGAAAATGACAAGGAACTTGTATTGATGAGACTGAATCCAAACTCAGATTCAACCTTGGTGGGGAAAAATACAAGGGAATATTAAAAGAATTGGAGGGGAAAAATACAAGTAAACCAAAGGTACAAGAGATTGAATAACCCAAACAGAAACTACTACGCAGAACAAAGAGAGGTTCTGGTTTTCTCCCAAAAGAACCCAAGAGTCCCAACTTTCCAAGATAATTCCAAAATGATCTCCCCCTTGCTATTAGTAACCAACCTAGTGTTGTGCCATGATTTCCCTCTAACCAATTGATGTTGACTCAATAATTTTAAGTGCGAGTTGTAATCCTCTATTTCTCTTCCTCTCGTATATCCTTCCAGATTTATTTCTTCACACCATCGTATCACATTCCCCCTCACACAAGAGTCCATTGGATTTGAAGTGTGGATAATATACAGACCTACCTACCTATGCTAAGAAACTCCACAATATTTAATTGTTTATTAATATAATGGAGACAATGAGGATCAAACTCGTAACCACTTGCTTACAGAGGCTCTGATACCCTATAAAACAACCATTTCAACCCCCAAAACTTAAGTTATTAGGTGAAACCGTGAAAGCCACATTAATAATTTTATATTATATTTCTCTAACAATCCATATGAATCTTCTAAAGTGAAGGGTAAAGTTTGGAGATTAAAGTGTAAAATTAATAACTGTTGACGAAAACTTTACAAGGTAAGTCTGGTGTTACAATGCTCTTGCTAAGCGCGTTGTCCAGGGAAGAGTCAGACCCCCTACGTGGGTCTATAAGATAACAAACCATGGATATGTAAAAAATCTACTCTGATTTTCCCACCAAGGCTTGCAATTTTTTTGTTAGACAAGAAAGGCCGAGGTCCAAAAGGAAAACAAAATTAACGAGCTACATTAACACGAGGCAAAGAAACCCAAGCAAAATCATCACAAACTAAGCTTTACTCTTTAAAGTACACTCCTCACTTTAGAATATCTAAATCCCTGGTTGGCTTAGTACTATAAACCCAATTTTTGCCACGATATAATCTCAAATAGTAACAAAGTTTACTACTAAAGTTGTCCGCTTGTAAAGTCTTTTGCAACATGCGAAAAGACTTGGAATCCTCGGGGAGGAAGGGAGAGAATTACCTCACCTTTGAGTAACCCACACAATTTACAATATGCAAACTTTTACTCTGCTCACTAGCTACGATGACAACATATATGTAACACATGAAATACTATCAGACATTTACCTGAGAATTTATACTATACCAACAATGCATAGTTCATAAGCCCACACAAAAAAGAATACTTCACAATAACGGTAATTACTAGGGAACATAAAAAGTCTTCAGAAATAGAAGCTACTTACTCCAAACATTGTCCTTCTTGCAGGACCATTATATTTTATTTGGATATTGACAGTACTTGTCACAGCAACAATGCAAGAAACATCAACAGCTAGAACTTCACCAATCTCAAGATTTTTCTGTACAACTAACAATAAACAGAATCCAAAAGAGCACCCCAATGAGAAATAATAATGAGTATAGCAATAAAGAAAATTGAAAATACTCCAAAGGTAGACCTTAATCAGAATGGCATTTAAAATTTGGAAGATAAATTGGGGAGGAAAGAGTTGCAATGGAAACAAAAAAAAAGGCAAAAACTCTAAAATTGTGTATATATCTGTCAAGAAAAGTATACCAGATCCACCCGCTAGTATGAATGCAAGCCCTTGGCCAGATAGCTTCTGCCTCAAGAATGCCTATGATACGAAAACGATCTTAGCGAAATAAAATGGAGATATTCATTACAAGGAAACTTCAACTTCTTTCCAATAGAAAACCTCTTATTTTGAAGTAAAGCGGTTACAATAAATTTTAATAGTGACTTTGAGGAAAATTATAATAAATTTCTCAAACATAACTAAAAGCAAAGAGTTAAAATGATAACTTGATTTATTTATTGGTTTTCTTTTCCATACATCCAGGATATAAATTCTTCATATTCAAGCAAACACACCTCAAAAAATATTGTTTATGAACAGAAAATTGTGCAACAGTCACACCAAGGTCAACCATTAAACACGCAATGTATCCTAAGAACATATTTCATGTCCATAATATCTTTTGGAGTTTTGGTACAAACAAAAATTCAATGTAGACATTGCAGCCTACACAGATTGCAAAATCTTGGAGTGCAAGAACAATGTCCATTGTCCAATTCAAGTCATGTATCAAAAGAAAATAATATTAAAAAAAGCAAACTAAGATTGCTTGCCAGGCAAGTGATATCAAGTATAAGTTAGTAACAAAGACAACAAAAATAATAGGAAACATCCGATCATTCCAATTATCTCACCTCAGCACCAGGAACGACATTTCGTCCCCTCTGATCAACTATGTTGCTGACCTTCACATCATTGACAGAGCAAAGAAATGCATCTGGCTACAGAATATTCAAAATAAGGTTATGTTGTATTCTGGTCCTCTTATTAAAAAAAAAAAATCAACAAACAATAAGCCCATAGAAAATCAAATTTTAGTATTTAAAATCAAATCGAACAACAATTGCAAACAAATTAGTTTTACCTGACACAAAATCTCTCCATTAAACATTGCCAAATCAATCTGTATTTGAATAAATAACAGACACATAGTCACATATAAAAAGGAATTCGATCTGATGAATACAAATATATGTTTGAGATGATTAATTTTGAGACTTAAAACATGAAGAGTAAAAATCCATTGTTTAAATAATTTGGAGAGGCATGTAAGCACATACTGGGAGAATTCTAGCAAAATAAGGTGCAGCAATTCCAACAAATCCATCACTTTGTCCAGGATTGCGAAGAACAATGCTAGTTATAGTTTTGCCAAATAACCACTGCCAAATGCCTACTTCATTTTCTGGAAGGTAGGAATTTTCCATTTCAGTGGATCCAGACATAAAGCACATGGAACCTACAATTACAGTAGCATAGAGATTCCATTAAAATATTGATAGGTGTGATCCATAAATTCCAACCATAAGTTATTCATGCATAGAGACTCAAATGAGTGTGTTTTTATTGGTATCAATATGTATAAAAAGATATCAAACTACTAGGAAAACAACAAAAGAAATTATCTGCTCATCTCCATTCACACTACAATTTACTTCAGGTTCAGGTTAACTGAAACATGATAATTAACAAAGTCAACATTGTGCTCATTGCAAGCTTGTGAACCAACAAGTCACAATTAAATTTAACAATTAGGGACTCATTTTTCATTATTGTTTGTCAAGGAAATCACTTAAACCTAAATTTTAAGCAAATTAAAACAATATAATTAGACCAAAAAGACTGTCAAATATATGCAAACCATATAAAATAGTTATTTCATCCCCATTTGATGCTCATGAGTCATGACCAGTATTGGCCATGTTAAATAGACAAACATCAGGATTCATAACTGACCTGAGCTTCCATTGCAATATTCATTATTGTCTATGGAAATCATGTTTGCATCAATGTCAAATTCCAGCAAATAATCAGTATTTAAAGTTCAAAATGACAGAACACAAAATTGCCACTGCCATCTAAAGTTTGCAAAGAAAGATCATCAGGAAAAAAATTCAACACCCATGAATAAAAGTGCCCATTAACTTACCAGGCTTCGCAATAACTTTTTCTTGTGGCTTCAACATTATCTGTGTTGCAAGAACCAAATGAAGAATGATGTTACACAGTTGTGGATATTGTACAGAAAGGTGAAAAATTAACATTCTAAACTCAGGATGGTCACGTGTACCTGAACCACCTGAGCTTCACCCCCTAAAATCTGAAAAGGTATGATTGCATCTTGTGGGCTCTAAACAGCATAACATGAAAATATTCATCATGAGATTATGAAAGATATTTGATAATAGAAAATGAACATGATGTCAGGATTTTGTTTTGATAGAATCCTATACCATAATAAGTTAAGGGGCATTGGGACACCCTTTATAAACAATGCTCGGATTTTTATTTTTTCTTCATAAATTTGTATGTTAGGATTACTAGAGTCAATTTCCCCATTTTCTTGCATCTGTTTTGGTTATTTGGGAGGTTAACTTCTCCTTGCCTCCTTATCCTCCTCACCCCAAGAAAGGCAGCTCTTTTACTGAGAACAGTATGCGTGAAAATAAAAGCATAACCATATATCAATTCTAACATCCTTAAAACTACACCAACCAACCAGCATGGAAAACTTCTCTTTTAGACAAATTCATTTTGCACATTCCACAGGAAATATGTAAGTTCCACGGACCAAAGGAGCAAATTGTCATGATCGTGACCTGAACTCAAACTAAATTTAGTTGATCATACAGTGAAGCCACCTCATCAAACAAAGTAAACACCAACCTCGATTTCAAAAACTTAGCAATGTATAAAAGAAACACAAATCAATCTTCTGGACTCCAATTTCAAAAAATATAATCCTACCCAAGAAGTCATTAATGCATCAAACATATTAATTTAGTATTCAATCTCATCCTAAGCTGTTCTAGAATCTAGATTAGTAGAAAGCAAATGATTGTAGCCAGGGAAAGTTCAAAATATATTTCTGTTGTCAAGGGCAATAATTGATGCAAGTACCTGATAAACATAAGGCTGAAAAGGCGTTGAGAAAAATGGGGCAGCCATGGCCGAGAGACAGTGATTACTTTGTAGTTACCGGAGATGAAGGGCCTATCTGGAACTAAATCCACGAAAAATTCAATGAAGTTTTTATTAAATAATTTATTTGAAATACAATACAAAAACCACATGACAATACGAACATAACCAGCCTGCAAGTTTGCCGATTTTGAAAGATAATACAACTCTGTAGACAAGTAAAACCCCTATATCCTAAAAATACTTTCCTAAATGTGGATTTTAATAATATGGTCCAGTCCACTGACCCATCAACTTGAGCACTTTCATCTCATTTACTTCTCTGATTACTCAAGTATGAGGTACCCATTAACATATAGAACGTGGATGCACACTTATCCTTCGAGGTGAAAAATTTAAACCCAGATGCATAACCAAAATTAAATGGTGAGAACTAAAGATGCACCTGATTCAACTACTCAAATGAGAGAAACCCCAATGTTGGGCCTTTTGTATTTGCTGCAGGACCTCTAAATGGAAAACCTACTCTTAATTAAATCCTTGAGAGATAGGGAAAAAAAAACCATAGCAGTGTAAGATAAAACCCCATTGAAAATCATTGTTAACGAAGGGATATAGACGACTATAAAAACAAGAGTAATATATAAGTAATTGAATATTACAACGATAAAAGTCAAATTGCAACTTTTAATGGGTAACAACTTACTGAATAATAATTGGTACCGAATCGAACATAGTCTCAGATCTGGTTGATCAATCTAATCCCATGCGCGAGCAAGTCTGATTCAGAAGAACATCATACACTGGGTTATTCGCGGGTTTGGGTATGTTAACCCTTTTTTTGTTTATTTATTTATTATTTTCTCCATTTGCATGCGTTTGTTGTTGCAATTTTTGGAGTACAAGTGTGTATTCATTCTGATATGTCTTACGTCTATTGGCTAGATGCTCAATCTTGACATGGCTTATTCCTATTGGCTAACGTAATCAAAAGACTCCAAGCGGTGCATTTTTTTAAATAGGATTAAAAATAGTTTTTTTCTTTTTCTCTTTTTCTTTTTTCCTTTTTGGCATAAATAGGTCATGGTTATATTATTTAACTAAGGAGATTTGAATTTGAACTTTGGTCTTTTGCGTTTGAAGAGACCCACCGACCATATATATAATGTCTGTAGTGTGTATAAAATTAACAATAATTATAACATTTTTTAGGAAAAAAAACTTAAATTTGATTAAATAGGATGTCATAAATGATAAATAGAGTTAATTACCTCTCAAGTTAGTAATTTCTACACTCAACAATGTGCATTTTTATTTAGAAAATTAAACTTATAAATATTGTATTCTGTCTCAATTAATATATTTTTTCTAAAAAATAAAAAGAAAATCACTGTAATGAAATATGACAAGTAATATGTTCTGAATCGGTGATATGGCGTTGCCTAGCTAGATATGGCTGCTTGGCAAGCCCTCAAACACTTCATATAGGGGTGACAAAATGGGCCCCGACCCGTCGCCAACCCGTTAAAAGTGGGTTGGTCCGTCCCGCTCCGCCTCTTGAATTTGAGTTGAAAACCCCAATCCGCCCCATTTTATGGTGGGTTGGCGGGTCAACATGCTAAAAAAAAAATAATTAAAAATAAAAAATAAATTATATTTTATTAATATTAATTTTATTAATATTATAATATTACTTATTTTCATATCACATTTTCCTTAGTTTTTTTCAATCTTAAGTCTAAATGTATGTTAATATTTAGTCAGATATTCTTTACAAACTTGTTTTTATCTCCATACATAAATTACTTTTGTCATAAATAAAGTTTTTCTTCTATATTTTTTTTAGAGAGTACTAAGATAACAAAAAATTGGATATCACAAAAGCTTAAAAACAAATAAAACACTACCTAATAGTAAAAAAAATAAAAAATTTGATCTGACGGGTCAACCCGCCGCAACCCATTTTGACCCACAACCCAACGGGGCGGGTTGGTGGGTTGAAATATGTAACCCAACCCGCGCCGTTTTGGCGGGTTGGCGGATTGACCCGTCGGGTTCTACCTATATTGTCACCTCTAACTTCATACATGGAGCACGTGGCTTCCTAATATAGGTGTCTTCTCATATTTTTCTCGCATGCATGACTATTTTTACGTCAAGGGTCACGTATCCTCACATTATTGTAGGGCCTATGAGGATGAAATGATTATGACATCACACTTTTATGTTGGGAGCAAGGACGGAATCAAGGGAGGGACTAGGGTTAGCGGCCTCCTCTCACTAAATTTTATTTTTTATTCATATATAAAACGATATTTTTATAGTATTAGTATATTATTAGTCCTAAGAGTTAGCACAATCCTCAAATTAAAATAAAATAAAATAAAATAAAGAAAACCATATCCCCACCCAACCATGGTTGCCCCCAACTTTAAAAAAAAAACACCAAACATGTGAATAACTGACATAGGATTGTTCTAGTTAATTAATAGTCTCGAGTTTGAGACTTACGTATATTTAAAACTTGGTTGAGAGCTTTACCATCTTCATTACTAGAAAAGTCTATTTTTTCGACAGAAAAATTTCATCGAAAATGAAGTTTTCAATGGAATTATGGATGAAATTTAGGCAATCGAATTTCTCTTTGTCGATAACAATTTTTTCGACAGAATTAGAGATTTCGTCGAAAAATTTTTACTGAAATAAATTCCTTCAAAAATTTGATTATTTCGTCAAAAAATGACAGCCATAAAATACTATTTATTTAATGAATTTCGTCGAAAATCTTGAAGAAATATATTTTCGTCAAAAAGTTTCATCTCAAATTGCAATGGAATTTTACCAGAATTTTGTCAAAATTTTGTTGAAATTTTCGATGAAAAACATATTTACCCAAAAAAATTTGACGAAAAATCAATGAAATCCCATCGAAAATTGTTGTAATGGTTTTCAAAGGAAAACGAATTCTGTCAAAACTTTTTGACGAAAAATCAATAAAATTCCATCAAAAACTGCTGTAAACATTTTCGACGAGAAACAGATTCCGTCAATTTTTTTTGAAGAAAAATAAATGAATTTTCATCGAAAACTAGTATAAAGATTTTCGACTGAAAATTGATTCTGTCAAAAAAATTCGATTGAAAGTCAATGGATTTTTGTCAAAAAATTTTGTCTCGATTTTTTACGGAATAAAAAATTGTGGAATTTTTTTTTAAAAAAAATCTCTACAAAATTAATACCAATTTCTGTATTGAACCTGATAAACAAATATAATTAAAATAAATAACATATCAAAATCAAATCTCCTTAATTAATACAATTAAATGTATAAAAGTCCATATCATATACTAATCAAATACGGTTTTTTGACCCTTTTGCCCCTCATCAATTAATTAATAACCAATTTTCCCCTCTCCTAGAACTATCCACCATCCTGCCCCCCTTTAGTCGATTAAGGTGAAGATTTAGTCGATTAAATTGTAAAACACAGGAAATATGAAGCCTGAAATTTAATCGACTACAAAAGCATATTGATCGATTAAATTTCAGGGAGATTTAATCGACTAAAATTGTTATGTAGTCGATTAAATTGCGTTGGATCAGTTTTTTAAAAAAACCCCATTTCGCGAAGGGGGTTATTTTCAAACCCTAGTCGATTACAAACCCCCAAAAAACCACCTCATCAAGAACCGACCGAAACCCCTCCCCTTGGCCGTCCGATTGCACCATCAGAACTATCCACCTTGTTAAACTGAGTGGGTAGGTAACGTTTTGGCACTTGCATTGTGTTTTATGTTTTGGTTATTTTTTTTTCTCCTTTACATGATATTGTTTCTGTTTTTTTTTTTTTTTCTGTTTTATGGTAGAACGTTGTTTGATTTTTTTTTGTCTTTAGTTATTGATATTGTTTCATGAAGATAAACATTAGGGTTAGGGTGATATTGATTTTTTTCTATTTTAAAATTTTTGATATTGTTATTGTCCGATTTTGATATTGTTTGATTTTCTCCTTTACATTCGAAATTTTTTGCCCTTTTCATGATTTTGATTTCTGAGTTATTGATATTGTTTCCACTTGATTTGTAGGTACGCTTGTTAAAATGGTTGGCCGTAGAAGACAGGCAATGCCCAAGATGAGAGACGCACGAAGCAACGAGAAGACCGGTCGTCTTCGTCAAGGACACAAGACGAAGAGCCTGCTACTGTCGACCTCCCATTTGGATACTTGTTTGAGGATGACCCCTCAGTTCACGCTGCATTTGTACGTGACCATGTGAATCGACCCTTATGTCCTCCAAAAACATTGGATACAGCATTTTTTATGGCAGAGGGATTTGACATTATGGCGTTGTTGGAGGCAGCACATCTTAGGGTTTTGGCTGAGATGTTGTGTCCGTATTCAGAGCTGATGGTGCGGGCCTTATACCATAACCTCAGCTACGTACATGGTGAGTTGAGGTCGAGGGTCTGCGGGGTGGACATCATCATGACGGCTTCGGTATGGTTGGAGATACTGGGCTATGACTTTGATGCTGAGCAGACTGTGGAGTATGACGCAGATAGCAGCGTAACACTTCCTGGATATTCCTGAGGTGATGCCGTGTAGGAGGCCAGGAGGCCTGATATCGGACGTGGGCGAAACATTCACTACACGGTGGGGTTGCTTAGTGTAGAGTCCTGTATATTACACTGTGTCATCACCCACATACTGTTTCTGCGAGCTTTCAATCATTCCAGGGTGCTAGAACATGACATTCCTATCATGTGGGCTATCCGACATAGTGTTATGGTGAACTGGAGGCACTATATCTGTTGGATGATGTTTAAGGCCAAACATAAGGGTGCACTTCCATTTTCCTGTCTAGTACAGAGGATATTGGTTCACTTTGGTGTTCCCATGGACAATGAGCAGTTGAAGAAGACCACAAGCTATAATTACAAGTTCGGAAAGCGTCTACTGGAGCAGTGCAAGATCTCAAAGAACAGGGCGGGTGTGTGGCAGTTCACAGGTACGGTTGAGGTTGAGGTTCCTGATGTTGCCCCAGATGCACACATGGTTGTGGGGCCCACACTTTTTGAAGAAAAAAAACTGCGGCACACAAAACGAATCTCTATAACATTACACAATCACTTTTCCTACAACATAACTCTTATAAAACCCATATTTTAATGTGGTTTTAGGATGAATAACTATAGACATGGAAATGAAACATCAATTTTAAGATTTTTTTACTCTCGAGTCAAACACAGGAACCAAGAAATACGACGCATGGGAAGAAGACGCTGAATAATGGTGGTGAGAAAATTAGAGTTGTGTTTACCTACTGGGTCTAAAAAAAAGGGTCCAATATTTGTAGAAAGAGGGTATATCAAATGCTTCGAGTTAAAGAAGAAAAGGGATTTGAGAAATCTTTAAAAATTCACCTTATTAAACCAGATGCAGGGGATTACTTAACAGTGTTTGATATAGAGTTAACGGATATGTTTAATTGGTGGATTCACATAGTACTGATAGGTGATGCTCTCCGGCAAGTATACCGATCGCACAAGTAATACAGTGATAAGAAAAGTATCGTCTCCACAGGGATTGAGCTCGAATATCAAATAATCGTGCGCTTTTAGAATGGAAGGATTCAAAAAGGTTGTGACAAATATTGTCGGTTTGAGTAAAAATGAGAACTTTAAAAGAAAAGACTTGTTTTTGGTTTTTTGTTTATGAGAAAAAGAATAGAGATTGACTTTTGTAAATATGAGAAAACATTGTAGCTAGAGTACACTCAACGAATGATTCTCACTTCTTACTTTGGACTGACTTACAATACTTATTTATATAATTACTCAGATAAATTATTATCTAA